CATCTTTGCTGCCACCCTTGGGGGCCCCTCCACCTGGGTAGCGGCGGCGCGAGCGCGTCGCCCGTCACCTCATCCGCTCACCCCCTGCCCAGACCCCCCGTGGAGACCGCATTTCATCCGCTCTGAGCAAAACCGGGGTGCCTGCCGCGCGCTCGCCTTCCCACGGCCTTACCCTTGGCCGCAAACCCCGCTGGGGAGGGCTTCGGAAGCTGCCGGGCACCCTCGGGAGTGAGGCAGCGCTGCCTGGCCTCTGCGGGAAGCAGAGCAGCGGCTCTCAGACCCGGGTGTGCGCAGAGGTCACCCCGGGAGCTCGTGTGTAAACCGTTCTGGGGCCTGAGCCTGCCCTGACGCGCAGGGACGTCGGGGTGGCGCTAGGAAGTGCCCTTCGCACGAGCATCTCTGGCGAGTCTGATTCGGGCGGTCCAGACTTTGGGTAACGCTGTGTAGTGGGATTTAAGTTCCCACTTTGCCCCTTGCTAGCTGAGTTATTGGGGGCACCTCAGCCTCCCTCAGCCTCAGTTGCCTCACCTGTAAAAGGAGAATATAAATCTTATTCACCTCTCAGGTTTATTGTGAAAATACATGTGAAGCTTTTTTGCACGTTGCCTGGTAGACGTTAATCCATCAGTAAATAAGCCTATTGCGATGTAAAGGTTTAGAGAAAAACTCTGTAATGTCTGAGAGTGTCCGAGTAATAGAAGACCCAACAGTGAGGGCCTCACCTTTGCTGGCAGAAGATCACAGCAGAACCCTGTTCACATGACGGTCACAGATGAATTCCCCTTGCCTCCTAACGTGACACACGGACAGCAGCCTGGGATAGGGCCCTGGACATCTTTGGGGGCCGTTATCCTGCCCACGACAGCCACCTTTTCGTGATTTCACAGATGGTTGACATGAAAGCTTTTGTTTTATATTTTTGCCTTGTAGAGGTTTTTGCTGGGAGAATTAGCAGTGACCTTTCAATATGGGGGATATCCTGGCTCATGAATCCGAGTTACTTGGACTGGTGAAAGAGGTAGGTGTGTTATCCCACAGGCCACAGAGAAAGCCCTTGGGAACTTGTAACGCTTGCATTTACAGTGCGGTAAATTCTGTAGTGCCCTGCCCTCTCTCTTCTGTCATCACTTCGCAGTTATCTGTTTTCCATCACAGCATTTTCCATGTTTACATTTTGTTTTCTTAACTGAAATCTTTTTTTTAAATGTTTTTATTGATTTTTAGAGATAGGAAGGGAGAGAGAGAGAAACATCAATGTGAGAGAGAAACATCAATAGGTTGCCTCCTACACACCCCCCGACTGGGGATCGAGCCCACAACCTAGGTATGTGCCCTGAGCAGGAATTGAACCCGCGACCTTTTGGTGCATGGGACTCAGCTCAACCAACTGAGCCATACCAGGCAGGGCTAAACTGAAATCTTAAAGCTGCTTTTTAGCATTCTTTTAAAGAAAATTATAAAATCAACACATGGTTATGGTAAAAGATTCAAACAGCCTGAAAGTATAAACATTGAGTTTCTCTGCCCAGCCCCTGCAGTGACCACAGTTAATGATGTAGGGTATTATCTTTCCAGGCTTTTTTTGTATTCAAAATATATTCAGGTGTCTGTAGTTTGTTTTACAAAATGGGATGGTCCCACACACATTGTTCTGTAGCTTGTCTTTTGTCTGTCAGCAGTAACGTAGATTGAACATCTATCTGTCTCCCTGTGATCCTCACATTTTTGAATGCAGGAGAGCTTTTCATTCAGTGGCTGCACTGTAACTACTTCACTCGTGCCCATTAATGGACATTGAGGTGTCCCACACTGAAAGCTTCCAAAGGGTCGGGCCCACGCCTTATGCTTTCTGGTGTTCTCTACTCCTTTATTGTGGGGCTGGCATATAGCTGGTGCTAAAGAAACGGTTGCTGCTGCTTTACTGTGTGAGTCAGCTGTGGGTTAAGCATCGAGACATGTGGCAGTGGAACAGGACGAGGCATGTACCTGGAGATGTAGCTTTGGGCTTTGTTGGAGTGATCCTGAGTAAATTCTTAAGGCTGTCACAGCTGAGGGGTGTGGACAAGCATGGGGACAGCCACAGTTAGAGGAGGCGCAGACAGAAAGGTGTGACTGACAGTGTCAGGAGTAGCAGGGGAGCCTGTGGTATGGAGCGGGGCGCAGGGCAGGGGCGTTTGAGGATGGTGATCAGCAGCCCTCCGCTTGAAGACAACTGAGGGCGTGGCTCATCTTTTCATGACTTTTCCTCTTAGGGACAGGCATTATTTCTAATCCCTCTGTTTCAAGTAACAAATTTCCAGAGACCTACTAGACCCAAAGCCATCAGGCCATCTGCCCATCACCCACCTTTTTCAGACTGATTTATTTTCTCTTAATAGTTACAGTGAGTCATGGAACTCACATTTTTCTTCTGAAAGCAAGCTTATTTTCTGTAAAGAAACATTTTCTGTGTTACTGTCTTTCTAGGCTTTTAGTGTGTGTATGGATAAGTAAGTTCCAAGTTGGATCCCGAGTTACTTCTCCCAAAGATGATAGCCTGTTTACCCCATTAGAAACGTGATAATATTGACGTAAAAACAGAACTATATATACATTTGTGTTCTTTTTTATAGTATTTAGATTTTGCTGAATTTGAAGACACCTTGAAAACATTTTCAAAAGAATGCAAAATGAAAGGAAAACCATTACCTAAAACAGCCAGTGGCTCTTTAAGGGACTCCAAATCATCAATAATCCAGGTAATGCTTTACTTTTTTTTTTTCATCTCTGTTGATAATCAAGATGTTCCCAACTTGTAAAAAATGCTGCTCTTTGAGAATGTTGGAATCTTTTCTGGGGACCTGGTCAGAGTGACTTTTAGACTCTCAGGTGTCAGTGATGAATTAGCAGTGTCGTCTTCTCATCTCTGTGCCCTTCCTAGGAAATGGGCAGTGACATATGATCTTTCACATACATTTCTTTGGAAGAAGGAAAAGAGGAAACCTTGCAGTGCTTAGGAACTGAGACAGACGTGGCCCTGATCCTCAGGAGTCTCAGGTTGTTAGTTCCAGGTACCAGGGACACAGTGATGAGGGGAGACAGGGGGAGGGAGCAGGTTGCACTGACAGGGCAGCATCGTGCCACAGGAAGCCAGAGCTGCTCTGTGAGTCCGAGTGAGCTGCAATGGGCAGACCTTAAGGTTAGAAAAGACCTTAAAATCCCTTGTTTCAACCATTTGTTGTCTCCCTCCCATTTGTAACATTGTAGGTAAGTTCACCTTGAGGACATCCAGTGACAAGAACATACTGTTTCCTGGGCAGCATGTTTCATCTTTGCATGATTTTATTATTTTAATAAATTTATTCATTTCAGTATAGCCACTTCCAAGAAAAATGTGAGCCTTGTTTGAGAAGCCCACTGAGTAACTGGAAGTTAGGCCACAGCCACTGCCTGTCTGCTCCTGGTCCCTGACTCCCCATGGCCTGGCATGGGGCACTGTAGAGGTGGCCTGTGGAGCTCCAGGTGGGGCTGCACCCTCTGCCCAGTGCCCCTCCGGCCTCAGTCACCTGGACACAGCGCTGCCACATAGACTGGGACTGTTAGGAAGTTCTTTAGATTCTACCTTGTACCTAAAACTGAAAACCTGTGCAGCAGGCATTTGTGATGGGTCAGCTGTTGTTCTTCTTGTGAGGCAGGTGGTGTGATAATTGCCATCTCCTTTCTCTGCTGGGTGGTGAGGTGGGAAGCTGTCTGTGCCCTGCAGTCACACTCGGGCTCTGAGGTTGGAAGGGGACCAGGCTGAGATCTCTCCTCCATCTCTAGCCTGGTTCTGTACCTGGAGTGCCCAGTCTCTATGGGTGACAGCTTCTCACTGTGCCATCTCAGCTAGACATGCTTCTAGCAATGGGGCAAATGGCAGTGCCGCCTCCCAGGCCTGGGTTCGACAGGGTCAATATGTGAGCTCCTGCCACCCGGGGACTTGGCACTGTGCTGCCAGCAATTCTGATGTAGGAGGCTGGTTCTGCTGAGGCCTGCCTGGCTCTTGGTCCGGTCTGTGTTTATCTGCTGCTGCTGTGGGTCAGCAAGTCCAAAGGGTGACTTCACTGTATTCATGTGCCTGTGAGTTCTGTGGCTGCAAGTCTGGCCAATGCCTGAATCCTTCCACCTCAGGCCTTAAATGCCGCGTCGGTTTCTTATAAACCCAGATTTGATACTGCAAAGCGGGGAAAACCAGGGTTGGCCCGCAGGAATCTCAGCCTATGGAGCTGGAAGCCCCTGGGTCTCCAGTTTTCTGCTCCTTACCTTTGAAAAGGAGACCTGTTCTCCTCACACTGAAACCTGGAGTCTTGGGGTCTCCAAGGCGTTTGGGAGGGCTGTGAGAGTTTGGGGTGTTGGGAGAGCGGGAACCCCTATGACAGGTCCGTTCTAATGTCTTCTCCACAGAAGGACCTCCTTACTGCATTTGACAACGGAGCCCAGAAGGTGTTCTTCGGTTTGTGGGAGGAGCATGTTCCCAGCTCCATCCGGGATGGTGACTCCCTCGCCCAGAAGTTGGAATTCTACCTTCACATCCATTTTGCCATCTATCTTCTGAAACACTCCGTGGGGAGACCTGTACGTTCCCCGTCTGAGTAGTTGTTAAGGGAGACTGATAGGTGGTACATTTTCCAGATGGGCACTAATTTAGTTTTATGACCACTGTACCGTACTGCCTGGGGTAGGTGTCTTGTGTTCTGATTAATGATTTTCCACCTCATTCCCAGCAGTTTATTTTCTAATTGACATGGAAAGTTAACAGTTTCTGCAATGAAAGCTACATTGTTTTCCTGAAAACTCAGCATATATAGATTATGTCTAAGTACATGTATGTAGACCACATATTGGTCATATGTTAGAAGAGGAGTTTAAGCATGAACAGTGGAAAATGGTATGCCTGTTTGTGCAAGTCTGAGTGATGAGTCTTTTCCCAGGTGGGGCTGGAGACGTGCCCAGAGGAGAGGGCTCTGCAGGCTGCCTTAGCGGGAGAACCTTTGAGTGCAGAGCAAATAATGGAAGGGGATCAGGGCCAAGCTGACATTTGACCACGTGCATTTGGTTAGTGGCTTCTCCACACCTTACCTGCCGTCCCGTGGACTTCTGTTAACTTATTAAACTGTCAGGGGGAGCCAACGGAGGGGTCAGTGATGGAGGGAGCTGCTTTGCAGTGCATTGTAACCGCCATTCTTGGACCGCTGTTCCTTAAGATAGCACTCCTGTGGATGTGGTCAGGGGAGATTTTCACTTTCTTTGTATTTATTTCTGTTTTTGAATTTTTTTCATTTTGATAGAAGATTTTAAAAAATCAACATTATATGTTTTTAATATGTCTTTATCGATTTCAAAGAGAGGAAGGGAGAGGGAGAGAGAGATAGAAACATCAGTGATGAGAGAGTCATTGATTAGCAGCACGCCTCCTACTGGGGATCAAGCCCACAACCTGGGGATGTGCCCTGACCGGGAATCGAACCACAATCTCTTGGATCCTAAGTTGATGCTCAACCACTGAGCAACACTGCTGGGCAACATTACATGTTTTTTACGTCTGGTGGTCAGAAGGGGGCTTCATGATGAGGTGCAGTGAGATGCTTTGATTAGAACAGACGTAACCTGTGTATGAGGCTACGTGGGGCGTAACTGGTGAGGCCGAGTGGTCTGGGAAGGAAAGCACCAAATTCAAGGTTAAGAAGCTCAGCTCATCCACCCTCCTGATTGAGGCACAGGAGGAGATGGAAACCCTGGGATGGACTTGTCTTGCCTGGGGTTTCATGTGGAATTAGTGAAGCAGGCAAGATCAACGCTCAGTTACCTTAATGAAGGCAAAGGATGTGATGTGGAAACTTCTGTTTCAAAAAACCATTCACCTTTAGAAACCTCTCCTAGGGAATCATGGGAGTGCACACAGATATTTATGATCTTAGAAATGTGGAAACAATCAATGCACATATCTGATATGGGGAATTGCTTAAATACATTGTGATAGGCCCACGAGATGAGGTTTTTGTCCTGCCATTAAGACGCTTATGATGAATGGTAAGGATGTGAGAAAAGGGTAATAAAGTAAAAGGCAGCGTATTGAACACATGTCTGTTCTCTGATATTCCTGATAGTTTCATGAAGGGGTGAAATCGGGGGTGATGATAGAGTGACTGGAGACAGCGTGCTTGCCAGGCTGTGTGGGGAGGCTGCCAGCACCGTGGCTGGAGAGAGAGGCTGGGTGGATGGTGGGCTGCCGTCAAGCAGGGAATCTCAAGCGAGCATCTTCCCTTTCTTGTAGGACAAAGAGGACTTGGATGAAAGGATTTCTTATTTCAAAACCTACCTGGAGAGCAAAGGGGCTGCGCTGAGCCAGACCACGGAGTTCCTCCCTTTCTATGCCCTGCCGTTTGTCCCCAACCCTATGGTGCACCCATCATTTAAAGAGCTCTTCCAGGTGAGTGACGGCCTCTGACCCTGTCAGGTCCCAGGCAGCATTGTGGTGTTACCTTGTTTATGCTGACGGCTTCTGAAGGATACTGTAAAAAACTAACACTTGCTTTGTTACAGTTTAAGAATATTCAGATAATTTGCTTTAACAAACTTTCTTGTGCCATAAAATGTGATTTTTTTGGTTGCACCAAGACTTGTTAATCCAGACCGACATGAATATTTTTAATATACTAACTTCAGTGTATACTTTTCAGTACTTTTGCTCCTGTCTACATGTGTTGTTTTGGTGGTCATCACAGGTATGTTAGTGCATATGCGTAATAAAACCTGAAGTTAACATCTTTGCTCTCTTCCTGACCGTTACAGGATCTGAGAGCACTAACCTCGTCATCCCCTTTCCAATCTATGTGCTACTGTTGTCACGTATTTTAGTTAATTACTTTGACCCCAAATATTAGAATTTTTTGCTGTTCTATGCAATCAGTGTGTGTGTAGCTTTACCCTTACACCTGCCGACATTTGCTTGCTACCCCATCTCGCGTTGAGAACCTTCCGTCTGGGATCATTTTCTGCTCCACCTTAAGTATGTTCCTTTAAAATCCCCTTTGGTTGTAGACCCTTCTTTCAGTTCTTGTTTGTCTGAAAACGTCTCTATTGCATTCTCAAACGGGGTTCAGAATAGTAGGCTTACAATTACTTTCTTTTAGTACGTTGAAGTTCCCATTGTTGCTATTTTGAAGTTGACCAAGTGTCAATTGCTGTTACTTTATAGGTGATCTGTCTTTTTTCTCTGGCCTTTAAGATTATATAATTTCGCCCGGGCGGGCGTGGCTCAGCTGTTGAGCATTGACCTAGCATCCAGACGATCAGGGTTTGATTCCTGGTCAGGGCACATGCCCCGGTTGTGGGCTCGATCAATGACTCTCTCATCATTGATGTTTCTGTCTCTCTCTCCCCCTCTCCTTTCCTCTCTCTGAAATCAATAAAGATATTAAAAAAAAAATTATAGAATTTCACTACAGTGTGTCTAGGGACACCCAAATGTTTTGTTTTGTGTTGTTTTTTAATGTCTTGATTGATGCTGGCCAACACAGCAGTCCTTTCCTGTGATTCTTTTTTGTGTATTGAGCACAGAGAGCCTAACACTGTGTTAGTTTCCTGTGGCTGCCTAATAGAGGGCCACCGATGAGATGTCTTAAAACGACAGGAACTTACTGTCTCACAGTATAGGACCTCAGAAGTCGGAAATCCAGGTGTCAGTCAGCAGGTCCAAACTCCCTACGAAACCTCCGGGGACCCCTTCCTTCCCTCTTCCAGCCTCTGGAAGGTTCAGTGCCGCTTGGTGCATGGCAGCGTAATTCCAGCCTCTGGTCTGTCCAAAAGCTCCTTTTTCTTATGAGGACACCATTCATGTGGGATTAGGACCCCACCCTGCTCAACTGCAACCTCATCCTAACTGCAGCAACCCCATCCCCAGAGACCTCACATCTGAGAATGGGACACAGTTCAACCCACAAAACACATATTATAAATAAACCTGTCGTGCTGTGTCAGGAAATCACAAAATCTTTTTAAAATATAAGACTTTTCTGCTTATCTGGCAGTATTTTTTGAAAGTCAGGTAACACTGGATGAACTGATTAACACGCTGCTGGACTGATTGGGTGGGGTGGGAGGCATCGGTGAGGACATGGAGCTGGAGAGGAGCCGGTGGGAGGTCTGTGGGAGCTGGGTGGGCGCTCAGCGGTAAGTGGGTAGGAATTTTTACTGATACAGCTTCATTTTGGTGGAACTTCTTAGTTTGAGTGGTAGATATTTTTGTATAAAGATGGTGAGGAACATTGCCTTGGGAGAGATTGTTGCCTGTGACACTGTTTTCGTTCACCAGGGCGGAGTACCTGAGGGACTGTCTTTCATCCTTACCTGTGAGCTTTACGGGAGCGAGGGCCTTTCTTGGGGAGGCCCTAGGTACCGTGCGGTCGCTGCGTGCCTGCCAGTGCCTTGTACGCCTAAGCTGCACTGAATTCTTTTTGGAATTCAGCCTAAGAAGATTACTTGTCATGCTCGTGTTTAAATCACATGAAATATGCAAACCATGTACAGGGTTATTTTTCCCGTTTATGAAAGAACTCTTTTTCCTTCCCATTGTGGGTACCTAAATTTTCAGTAAATGAATTGGTCAGTTGTCCAAAAACCTGCATTTTACAGCATCACACCGCTGCCAAACGTTGTCTTGCTATTTAACCCGAAAGGCACAGCTGGGCGATGCCGTCGGCAGTTAGTGACGTAGCTTTTGATTTTCCTTGTGTTTTCCTTCAGGATTCTTGGACTCCAGAATTGAAGTTGAAGTTGGAAAAGTTTCTAGCTTTGATTTTTAAAGCCAGTAACACGCCAAAGCTTTTCACATTATATGTATCCTTTCGAGGCCGCTGGAGCCCACCCTGGTGTTAGAGGAGCTCGCTGGCTTCCGCCTTGTGGGCAGGGAGGGGACAATGCTGCTTCCGCGTGTTCCAGGTGAATGAAGGGGGGGCTGCGCCAGGCCCATGAAGGGTCAGCTTCGATGGCATCAGGTCTCTGAGACGGGGTAGGGTCTCATTTCATGTCATGTACTAAAAGCTGTCTTAATAGGAGAAAAAGTCTGTCTTTTGGGGAAAAAACTTGGAATAACTGTCCCTTGGTAGAAGTTCCTTCAACCACTTTTCAGGCTGCACGGCCCTGGTGCTAGACCACATGACCATGTGACTTGTTATTCAAATTGGGACTTTTTAAAAAGCAACTTTATTCAAGTGAAATTTACATACCATAAAAGTGTACAATTGAATGATTTTTAGCAAATGTTTAGAGTTGTGCAGCCATTATCATAACTCAATTTAAATGAGGTTGCTTGTGAAAACAAATAGGGGGCAGTGACTGGGCAAGGTGCCTCTTGGGCAGCAGGTGAATGGAGACTGTCCAAGGAAGGGTGGGACGAGGGCCACCACCCCGGGAGGCCGGTTCCCAAAGCCTGTTAGTCTTTCAGGATGTTTGTCCGCTTTTACTATGAACAAGAGTATATCAAAAATTATTTCATAGCAAGAACATAACATTTGGAGTTGTAAAGTTGGTGTTGGTTCTAATAATGAAAATTAGTAGGCCACTTGCTACATAATACCTGTTTCATTTCTGACTCCAAAGCAAAGAGCTCCGCACTGAGCTCTTTCTTGGTCCCTGCTTTGGCTCCCTCAGTCCTTGGCGGCTCCCTGTGGCCCATGTTCAATGCCTGAGCCTCACCTTGAGACTGTCCACCGTCTGGCTGACCTACAGCTCTTCCCTCTGCTTTTATAATCCTAAGGTTTTGTAAGGTGCCACCCTCTACCCACATACCATGACACCTTTGTATCCAATCCATTTCCTCTTAGAGTCCCATTGAGTTCCACAGAGAATGGCAGTTTTCAGCGAAATTAGGACTTTTCCAACCTGGCTTATGATTATTTTTGTACTCTTTTAAAAAGCATTTCTCAGCTTAAACTTAATGGTGCCAATATGTTAAGATTCTAAAAGAAATTATTTACATACTAGATCCTAAATGCCCATATTAATAATAGCACCCACTTTATAGAAATAATATGAGGATTGAGGTAACACATGGAACTTGCTTAAAATATTTGACACATAGTAAGCACTCGATAGCTGTTAGCTGTTAATATTATAAATTATTGCAAATACTTGTTACTTTTCATCCTGTTCAACATTGGAGCAAATATACTGACACAGAGCAGGTAGCTATAAACACTATTCCTTTCTTTTCCCTGGTACCTGGAAAAACACATATCTTACATTGAATGTTGTGCTAGGAATCAGAGATCCAAAGGAAGGGCCAAGACCTAGTTCTCTTAGCCAAGGGGAGCTCTGAACGATAGAATGGGGGACAAGCAGCCAGTGCGGGGTGGGAATCCTGGGGGGGACGGCTCGTGCCGAGCACTGCGCCGGCATGTTGGGAAGCTGTAGGGAGTCAGTGTTCGTGGAGCCGAGGGGCCAATACAGAGAAAGAGACAAGGCAGTGCCAGGTCATAGAGGTGTGGGTGAGGTCCTGCAGGTAATGAGGGGCCTTCGGAATGTTCTAAGCAGGAAAATAACATGCTCATATTTACATTTTATAAAAATCACTTTTTCATTCCTGATTATAAAATTGATCATATTCCTTGTAGAAAATTTTGAAAGCTCAGCAATGCATTTGTACACATACATACACCCCAAAGCATATAACATTTACAATAAAAAGGGTAGATACCTGTATGTATATATGTGTTTTTTTTTAACATTTTTATCAAATGAAGTGAGCATTTTCCCCATATCTTAAATACTCTCCAAAAACAGGTTGTTTCCTCAAAAGTTAAACTGAGTGACCATGTGACCCAGCAGATCCACTCCTTGCTATACACCCAAGAGAAATGAAAGCATGTCCACCTGCAACTTGTATGCAAATGTTTGTAGCCACATTGCCCAAAATAGCTGGAAAGTACAAACAACCCAAACATCCATCAGCTGATGAGTGGATAAACAGTATGGTTCATCCTCACAATGGAATATTATTTGGCAATAAAAAATGAATTACTGATTCATGTTGCAACATGTCTGACCCTTGAAAACATGCTAAGTGAAAGAAGCCACACACAAAAGGCTGCATGTTGTATAATTCCATTTGTATGAAAGGCCCGGAAGAGGCCAATCTGTAGAAACAGTAGAGTGGTGCTTGCTGGGGACAGGGGAGGGTAAGGAGAAGGGGTGGCTGCTAATGGGTGCAGGGTTTCTTCTTGGGGTGATGGAAATGTTCTACAGTCGATTGTAGTGATAGCTACACAACTCTGAATGTGCTGAAAACCATTGAAATGTACACCGGAAATGGCGAATTATATACTGTGTGCATTACATCTCAATAGAGCTGTTAGAAAATAATTAAGAAAACCCACACAAAACAGGTAAAAATGCCTTGCCTTCAGTCACATGGCCAGAGGTGTAGGAGCTGAGGTTTGTACCCCGGCAGCCTGGCTCCTGAGTCTTGATTGCAGTTACTGTGTGATTACTGGTTTCATCCCAATCCCAGTTTCCTTAGGATAAAGCGTAGCACTGAAGTTACAGAGTTAAAGGGTGTGACTCAGGTTTGCGTTTTTAGTAGAACATTTGGGTAGCAGTGGGGAAGGCCTTGAAGGCAGTGAGGAGGCAGTTAGGGGGCTGTTAAAACAGCACAAGGCGTGGGTGCACACCAAAGTAATTGAGATGGAGAGAAGAGGGCTTGAGAGCGAGTCATCCAAGCAATGAGGAGTCAGTAACCCTCTTAGCAGTTTACAGCAGCATTAGGAAGCTGCCTTCGCCCCGAGGATCCTCTTCGGCCACACTGCGGCTCTGCCTCAGGCCCCACGCAGGTGAGGTAACCCGGGGACTGCATCCTGAGTGGCCGTTTTCCTGAACTTCTCCCTTATCCCAGAAGGAGAGTGGACCAAGTCACAAAGGTAAATCATGTTGATTAAAGTGTTTTAAATAACAGCTTTGCCAACTCAAGTTTTAAGTCATGAGATGGAGAGAATTCCGCGGACTTGGAAAATGAGAGCTCTAAAAGCCTAAATATTTATGAAGGGCTTTGCAGTCATTTGTGTCTGAGTCCTGGAGGCCACTCTTCAGGAAGGCTGGTATTTTTAGCTTCCGCTTGCTCGTCAGGTAACTAAGATGTGGAGAAATGAAGGGAATCCAGGCGCTGTGCCCATGTAATTGCAGCCTCGGAATTAGGAGACACACGGGTGGGGGATTCATTTTAGTCTTTCTCGCTTTCACCTAAAGCTAGTCTTCAAAGTAGGAATTCCAGTCTTAATATTTTAGCATAAAATGATGGTTTTCCATGATTAGTCAGTCATTTGTACCAGAACTGTTCATTTGTCAGAAAGGTGAAAAAACTTTAATTAGCGTGACGTGGTCCAGAGTTGGGTTCGCTGCCTGAGTTTGTCCTTGGTACTGCGTTACGAAAACCACTTACATTGTTGTGCGGGTCAGGCGCTGGAAAGGGTGTGTGATGTGCTTCAGGCCCGGATGAGTGTGGCTGCGTCATCCTCAGTTCCCAGCAGGTGGAGTTTTACTACAGGAAATAGCACATTGGTAACTGAGTTAGCTTGTGGCCTTCCAGGGAGGTGACAAATGTGCGATGCTGTAGTGGCTTCAGATGAGAAGCAGTGTTTGTTTTTGTGCTCGGTAACTGTGCAGATTCCCTGCCCAGCAGTCCTGAATTCAGGTTTTGCCAGCCGTGCCACCCCTCCTAGAGCTCAGTGGGACAGACCCTCTGACCTTCATGGAGGAGCCACAGTCCTGTGCCTGAGCAGAGGAGCAGGGGTACAGATGCGGCCTCCTGGGATCCACATGGAATGATCCCAGGGTCCCCAGCCTGCAGCCTTGCAGCTCCTCGAGGTTGCTGTGCCCCCAACACAGTTATGTCCAAGGACAAGTCCCAGCCCATCTCTCCAGCTCCTCAGGCCTGCTCCCTGCAGTGTTGGTCCGGTCCCCAGGCCCTGGCTGGGTGGGTCCTGTGCAGCTCCCCAGGCCCTGGCTGGGTGGGTCCTGTGCAGCTATCTCACATCAGCACAGCTGGATTCATAAACCAGGCTGGGCACTTGGGTCTTGCCCTGCAGCACCTGGACATGTTCCTTTGCCCACTGTTTCTCCTGCTGTGGCTGCCTAGCAGGCCACCTCAGGCCTTGTGGCACGGAACAACAGTGTCCATTTATTATCATCTTTTGTGGTCTGGGAACTGGGCTCAGTTCTCCCTTGGGGTGTCTCATGGGTACAAACAGAGCTGGGTGGAGCCATTGCCGAAGCTTCCTCACCTCGTGCACAAGTCCTCTGGCTGGTGCTGACACTGGCTGTGGGCTGGGGTCTCAGTAGAGGCCCTTGACTGGACCACCTATGTGGACTCTCCATGTGGCCTGGGATTCCTCAGGGCACATGGTGGCTGGGTTCCCAGGATGAATGTCCCCAGAGAGAACCATGGAAGCCCTTTCTGACCCAGCCTCTGAAGTAACTCAGTGTCATTTCTGCTGCATTCTCTCCCTTAGTAGTGAACCCCTGGTTGGGCCCACATTCAGGGAAGGGGAACTGCATCTCACCTCCTGATGGGAAGGCATGTCGAACACTCTGCCGCCACGTTTCACAACCATGCCCGCCTGCGTGGGCCCTGGAGACGGCCTAGCCCTTGCTCAGGCTGCTTAGTCCCGGGCCCAGGGGGGAGGTGGTGAGAAACTGCTCCTCGCCTCCCGAGTTTCTCCAGCCCATCGCCCCAGCATCCCCTGCAGTTTTTGAGGCTAGCTTTCCACCGGGGACAGTTATGTCTCTGATAAGTGGCCCAGTTTTGCAGACAAAATAAACATGGGGGGGGAGCAAATAGAAGAGACTATTCTGTGTTTTTCTCCAGGTTTTTAATTTGGAATTTCAGCAAGGAGACCAGGGTTTGCCCGGCCGGGCATGGCTCAGTGGTCAAGCGTCGACCTAGGATCCAGGCGATCGGGGTTTGATTCCCGGTCAGGGTAATCAATGACTCTCTCATCAGTGATGTTTCTATCTCTCTCTCTCCCTCTCCTTCCTCTCTCTGAAATCAATAAAGATATTTAAAAAAAAGAAAAAACAGGGTTTTCGAGCTTCTTTAATTTGATTTTAATTGAGTTTTTTTAGGAGAGCCAAGCAGAATCGAGTCTGATAGGCACAGCGTGTTTCTGTGGCCAAATATATCCTGAAATGCAGTTGTGCTGTGCAGATTAGAGAGTAGCGCCGCAGAGACTCGTACCAGGGGCTCAGCCCTGGGCCCAGGCCGAGAGTCACGATACCCAGAGGTCACCTCTCTGCCCCCTCCTCCTGAAACTACAACTACAGTGACCACAGGGACAGACATGCCTCCAATTTCATTTAATTCTAGATTCAGATGTGTTTTTAATTGAATGGTTGGGTGATATTCTGTGTCTTAATAAGGTTTCACAGATAAAGTGAGATTTTCATACTCTTGAAGGCGTCAGGAAAAGTGCTTGGGGTAGGAAATTCTCTTAAAAGGAATTACATTAAAAATGGTGTTTAGAGTGAAAACTTGGTTTGGCAGCATAGCATATTGGATTATTATTTTCACCTAGCCATCTAAAAAAGATACAGAAACAGTATCTTTTAGCATTTCTGGCATTAATTGATTTGGCCCCTTCAGAAAGTGAGCAACAGCTCATTTTTCTAGAGTTCAGAGCCCTAAATAATATTTTTAAAGATGGTGACCTATATTTATGGTTGTGAGTCATAACACTCTTCTTTAGTATTTGTGGATTAGCAAAACAGAGTTGATTTATATCTGAATTTGAAGAAGGAAGAGTATGTTTTATTGTGAAGACCGAGTAGCTGGTTTTAGGTTTTTACATGAGCTTAGAAAAACAGTTCCATATTTTATTTATTTTTAAATATGTTTTTATTGTTTTGTGAGAGAAAGGAAGGGAGAAGGGTAGAGAGACAGAGAGAGAGAAACATCAATTGGTTGCCTCCCATATGCACCCTTACCAGGGGTTGAACCTGCAACCTGTATATGTGCCCTGGTAGGGAATTGAAGCAGGGACCTTCCTGTGCTGGTGCGCAGGATGACGCTCACCCGTGAGCCACGCTCACCCGTCAGCCACACCCACCAGGGCGGCAGTTCCATATTTTAAAATGTATCATTTTGTCTTGAGCATCTAACGGATCTCAAAAATGAAATCTTATCTCTTTAAAAATTAAAAAGCAGCGCACCTAAAGAAGGAGGAATGTTAGCAAGGGGAAGCTTGACCAACTGTGGGGAAGGTCGCCATCACTTTTGTTACCATTTCATTGCTCACTGGAATGACAGGATTCTTTCAGTGTGCTCAGCTCTTGTTTAAAATGCGGGATGCAGTTCTTTGGACTTTTGAAATATGAAGAATCTCAATAAATTTCAAAGACATGACTAAGCCAGTTTCGTTAAAATAACATGGAATAAAACATCTCCATTAAAAGCTGAGCTCTTGCATGGCAAGGGGTCTTGGCTTAGATTTCCTTGTCTCATAAAACATTTGATGGGATAAAAGAGGTAAAGTTCTGTTTAATGCTCAGAAGTAAAGTTGATGTTTTGGGCTATGACTTAAACAGTTTACATAATGCTCAGGTCTTTTTTGTCAGCAGCTAAGGTGTCTGCAAGGTGCTGGCTCTGGATAGCAGGCTATTTGGAAATGGTGTATTGGAAATGGTCATAAACGTGTCAGCCCTTCCTGCAGGCTGCTGGCAGTTGGATGTCTTTCCCATGAAACGTACCATATCTTGAAACTTTCACAGATTCCAATGCCGGGTTCCCAAGGCAAAGTTCCACAAACAGTCTCTCACATTTATTTCATTGCACAGTGAGCTTCTGAGGGGAGAGTTCCTTTGTGGGTCCCCTTTACCGAGGGACCACTTGATGACATTGATGTCTAGGAGGTCATTTGACCCAGCAAATGGGTTTTGGTTCTTTGTTCATTACCTGCCACTTGTATGTGTTGAGAAAGTTCACACAGATACTCTAAACTCATTACCACAAAATGGGATTATCAGAGTCCTGTAGAATTTTCATTGTTGGAAGTTCCAGTTTATATAATTTTGAATTTTATACATATGAAAATGCTTTTTTAATAATATTCAGAGTAGGGAGAAGGTAGTGATCCCCCCCTAACAATATTTAAGGAGAAGCTGGATAAAGGACCTCCAGGGATGTTCTCCAGAAGTTCAAGTACTGAATGTAAGTTTGTGCTAGGTGACCTTTCAAAGTTATCTTGCACTACTGGGGTTTGATGGGTGCTACATAACAATGGTAATAATAATAGTTCATTATGTGATATTTGGGGTCTTAAGAGTTAAAATATTTTACTTCTGGACATCAGCAAAAAGTAAAAGCTTTTGAAATACAGTTTCAACGTGGGTGATCCTCACAGCTGTTTAGGACACAAATTAGGAGGAATGGATAACCTAGGACAGCAGCTTTTAAAGGTGTAGCATATGTCAGAGCCATCAGGGGAGTCTGTTGATAATATAGATACTCAGCCCCCAACCAGTATCCACAAAATCAGTCTCTGAAGGTGCAGCTCGATCATCTTTATTTCTGGAATCTCCTGGATTCTTGTTTTCTCCAGTGTCAGTCAAGCAGCCCTGACCTTTACTTAAAATGAAGCACTGCCCAGCAGTGATGAATTGTCCCCAAACAACCTCACAGGGCAGAAACAGAAAACGACGCAGGTTTGCTTCAACCATTGTGTGAGCTGATTGTAGAACGAAATGTTGAGTTTGTTTCTGTACATAAAGAGAACTAAAAGAAGTTGCGTGGGGTGCAGTCCAGGAAGTAGCTTTTGTTAGGAAAACCAGAGAGGGTTTAGTTGAACTGCCAGAGAGAAATAAAAAATGAGTGAATGCAAAGCACTTTGTAACTAAATGTGGCATGAAATAGAAGCAAAGTGCTAAACACTGTGTCAAGTCCCTTGTTACAGCAAAATATGATAGTGGGCATGGTACTCCCCTGAGGGGAATATACTTATTTTTATTCTGTGGGGTTTTTTAATTGTTTTTTGTTTTGTTTTGTTTTAATATAAATGTTTCCCTAGAAATGTTGCAGCAGCTCCACCAGCAGTTGGTAGAAGCTGAGCGCAGGTCGATGACATACCTGAAACGGTACAATAAGATCCAGGCGGACTACCACAACCTCATCGGGGTCACAGCAGAGCTGGTGGATTCTCTGGAGGCAACGGTCAGCGGCAAGATGGTAAGGAAGACCCCCAAGGGTTCACGTCTTCTTGAGATAAAGATGTATTATGGGCACGAACCACGTTAATACGAGATTCCTGGCCACTCCCAGCCATGCCCCTGCCTCTCACAAAGCCAGCGTGCACACAGGAGACCAAGCTGGCTTTTTATGCTGCTTGCAGTATTTTACACATTTTTTCCTGACATGTTATCTCCCGTGCCTTTATTTCTCTACCTGATTTTTTTCTTTCATATGTTTTTAATTGATTTCAGAGAGAGGAAGGGAGAGGGAGAAAGAGAGAGAAACATCAATGATGAGAGAGTATCATTGATCGGCTGCCTCCTGCATGCCCGCCTCCCCTGCTGGGGATCAAGCCTACAACCCGGGCATGTGCCCTGACTGCAACCTGGGCACGTGCCCTGACCAGGAATCAAACCGCGATCTTCTGGATCATAGGTCGATGCTCAACCGCTGAGCCCAGCCGGCCGAGCAAAAATTTAGTATTCTGAATGTCCATAACCCTAATAATGGAATTGCTAGGTCAAAGGTTATGGGCTTTGATGTATATACCAAATTATTTCTCCTAAGATTTCAACAATGCCTACCCACCCTTGACCTCCAGCAGTGTATCCAGGTGTCTCCTTCTCCACATGCTTGCCAACACAGACATGATTATACTTTGAAATCTTTGCCTGTTTGTAAGTAAAACTTAGTATTCTGAATGCTTCAGTGTACACTTCTTTAATATTTCGGAGGCTGAGTATATTTTCATGTGTTTCCTGCCCATTTATGTTTTGTTTTTCAGTCAGTTTATTCATATCCTTTCCTTATCCATCTGTTTTAAGCAAGAAAGTGACATAACCAATTTTCCTTGTTAGAGAAGTGGTTCCAGAAGTCAAAAGAGGAAACAGTATCAGGAGTAAGGGGTTGATCCGAAGTCTAAAAAGCCACAGAAAACTCTAGAAAACTAGAACTGAAAAGTGCCCACGTTTTCGACATTTAGAAGGGCATTGGTGGTGCTTCAACTTTCAAGAGTTAGAGCACAGTTTCCTCTCTGGCCCTTACAGAGAGCCGTGAGACAGCTGTGACTGCCAGGGCACCTCCACTGCCCCTGGGTGGGTCTCATCCTTCCACCAGCCACACTCGTGTCCTCTTTGCAGATCACTCCCGAGTACCTGCAGAGCGTCTGCGTCCGCCTCTTCAGCAACCAGATGCGGCAGAGCCTGGCTCACAGCATGGACTTCACGAGGCCTGGGACGGTGAGGCTCTGTGCCCCTGGCCTGAAATAGCATAACTAAAAAACTGACAGGGCAGGAGAAAGTAGCACTCAGAGTCCGCACCTCATCTGGCTTTGGAGGTCTGTACGTTCCCAGAAGGAAAGAAGGCGGTTTTTAAGGAGCGAGCAGTTGGGAGACGGCCTCCTGGCCACCAGGCGCGTTTGCTCACCCAGCGGAGCTGCTTGTGGGTGCCAAGCGCTGGCACCAGTGAGTGAATGGGTAGGATGCGAAGGACACTCGATTCTTTTTCTAAGATTCTGGGAGTGCCTGGGCTACAGTGGGGCTTCCTTTTTTCCTTTTTTAACTTTTTACTTGGAATAACTGCAAACACAGAAGAGCTGCAAAAATATCACAGGACACTTTGTATACCCTTCACCCCATTTAGCTGCTGGCAGTTTATCTACTGATTGGTTTGCTTTCCCTCCACACACACCCACACCCACACCCACACCCATGATCTGTTTTCCAAACCATTTGAGGACAAACTGCACATACTAGGGCCCCTTACTCCTAACTTCTTCAGTGGAGTGTATTTCTTAATAGGGATATTGTCTTGTGGATCGTGATTATCAGCTTCGACAGATTTGATACCGGTTCCTTTTTCTTCCCCAGTCTGCATTTTCCAGGGTGTGAGGCGAGCCGTTCACGTCCGTAGGGCCTTCTCCCTGCCTTGGTACCCAGGGCCATGGGCTGCGTTGTAGTCACCTCTCTTCAGCTTCTTTACCCTTGAATCTTCCCGCAGGCCTTCTGTGACTTTCATGACATTGACATTTTAGGGGAATATAGCCCTTTTCCTCTTTTAAAAGTAGAACATTTCTCCTTTTGTGTTTGATTTTCCTTGTGATTAGATTCACGTTGGCATCCGGGCCACATGTTACATAGGTGATGTTGCGTCCTTAAGCAAGCTCATCTGGAGGCTGCGCTGTGGTTGGGGTTCCCAACCGGGGGAGGAAGTGCCTGTGTCTCCCGGGGAAGTTTTCAGAGTTCATGACCGCAGGGCCCTGGGGCTCATACCACCCCGCTGCCCGGTCCAGGGGCTGAGTGGGTGCAGCCAGGTGCCTTAGATTAGGAAGGAGGTGCCAGGGGATGCTGAGGCACCCCTGTGGGCCAGAGCCACAACTTTTAATCAAGGGTTTGCACATCAGCATTAGGATCGCCATAAAAATATTAGGGCCTTTTGTAGTGTTAAATAAAAAATAATTTATTCCCTGCCTCATTCTCTGGGAGATTTGAAGCAGCTTATTATTATAACATGAGAAAACACAAATATGAGAAATGAAAAAATAGAAAGTAAAAGTAAAGCAATTGTGGTTAGAACTCATAGGAACAGAAAGTAGACTGATGGTTTTCAGGGGCCAGGAGTGGAGCAAATGGGGAGATGTTGGTCAAAGGGAAAAACGTCTGGTTATAGATGAGTAAGTTCTGGGGATCTAATGTATAGCATGGTGACTGTTATTAACAGTACTGTGCTGTATACTTGCTGTATACTTGAAAGTTGCTAAGGAGTAGATCTTAAATGTCCTCGCCACAAGAAACGAAAGGTAACTCCATGAAGCGATGGACATATTAACGAGCCCTGTGGTGGTAATCAGTTCCCGGTGTGTACAGGCACCAGCTCATCACATGGCACGCCTGAAACTCACACAGTGTTATGTCAGTATCTCAGTAACACTGGGGAAAAGTAACGCGTGGTTAGAAGAAGATAAGCGTAGGAATGATAAAAGCCGGGGCTAAGGCTGGTACAAAAACGCGTGTCGTAGGTTGCTGTACACTTGGAGAGTCAGCACAGATCTGGCTCTGAGCTCTCCAGCGGCTCGTGCAAAAAGGGACGTGTGAGCAGTTATGTGATTTACTTATAAAGGAAGAGAAAATATTTCCATAATATGTTACATACTGTTTGCTACATGAGTACTTGTGCTACACGTGCAGCCTAGAAAGCACAGCAGTAAAATGAGTGTCTGCCACGAATTCCCAAAATAGACCCTTTCAGCATCACTGAGGTTCCTGTGTGCCCTGTGGACGGTGAACTTTTTCCAGGTAGGTGTGTCACTATTATAATTTAAAACATTTTTAAGCACTTTTTTTTAAATCCTCACCCAAGGATGTTTTTTCCGTTGCTTTTCAGAGAGAGTAGAAGGGAGGGAGAGACAGAGAGACAGCGATGTGAGAGAGGCACATCGATTGGTTGCCTCCCACATGTGCACCAACCAGGGCTGGGGATCGAGCCTGCGACCCAGGTACGTGCCCTTGGCCAGAATCGAACCAGGGACCCTTCAGTCCGCAGGCCAACACTAACCACTGAGCCAAACCAGCCAGGGCTTAGGCACATTTTTTAAAGAACACGGGAGGTCAGACAACTGCTTCATGTGGTTATTCTGGTGCCAAGACCTGATGGCAGTTTCTCTCGTGGATCTTCGCAGAAAGGACGTGGTAACATGGGGAAGAGCAGGTGTCCTTGACCACGTCCCCGGGGCGCATGCAGAAATGGCTCAGAGCCGTGGGTTGTATGGGCCGCTCCTTGCACGGACACATGGTGTTCAGAGCTGCAGAGTATGTTCTTTCAGGATGTGGCCACGGGCTTTTTAGCAGGCACACAACTTAGAGAACTGGCCATTTTTAAAATGTCAGTAAAGCACACAGACACCCGGGTTTCAGAAGAGGAACCTCCTCGTGCGCCCTCCAGGATGAGGGGCTTTAAGCCACACCCCTGACGCCTGGCTGGGTGGACTTCTATGTACACTGTACAGTGAAGTCAGTGTGGAGCAGAGTGTTTACAGAAAGGGATGGCTGTTCAGCAGTAATGAGTCTGACAGGATCTGTATCTAATAGGGCCTCTCCCTTCTTCCCTGCCCTCCATTTATTCGTTAATTTGAGGTTTGTGGTGTGAAGTCCCATCCTGTCTTGCATACAACAGGAATGCCTGTATTTCCATGTTCCGATGGTGGAGTGATACATCAGCTTGTTTAAAACTGCTGTCATGTTAATAAGGAGCAGTTGGAAGGGAGAAGGTGCACAGCATTGCTGACATTTTATCCCGTTAGAAGTGTACATCATTTGTCCAAAGCTAGTCCCACCCTCCTTCCTGTTATAGAGCCATGAAGGTGCAGATCCTCAGCCTTAGAAAATGGGAGAGGGGAAGAGCTCTGTTTACCTGGGCTCACAACCATTTTCCTTTTACTGAGCCATTAACTTAGGAACAGACAGTAAAAGCTGCCAATAATCTTTTATTGTCCCTAGGAGATTTGCCTACAAGATGATACAAAGCAGATGTGAGTCACGGTGAAAGTATAAAAGAGTATTGTCGTTGGTTAGGTACGCCTGAAGTTGATGCAGGATGTAAGATTTATAGTGTGTGAAGAGGGACTTGGGACATTTTAGGTGGGATGTCTAGTGACTAAACTGATAGGATTTGGATTTTGAAGGAGAAAGTTGTTTTTTTATTTTTTTAAGGGAATAAATTCTACTCTCAGTCCAGTTTAATCAGTTTCGAGATCAATAGGTGGGCACAGCCCAGCCTCTTTTTTGGGTGGTCTTGCTCAGCATCGTCTGGGGGCTCTGTTGACCTTCAGTGTTCCGCTTCAGCACACTCTGAGGAGGGGCTTGGCTGGGTCCGTCAGAAAACTGCTGGTATCCACAAAGTTTAGTGCCTTTGATACTGGCTTTTGAATCTGGCTGTTAAAAATCTGGCCTCCTGCAACCTCATTCACTGTTGAACCTTTAAAAGGGCTCAGAAAATAGCATGCTTCCCCCCACTGAGATCTACACCAGCTGAAAAAGAGAACGAAAGAATAAAGGGAGAAGTAGCTGAAAATGTCCTCATTGATCCTTACAAAGCTTATATTGGAGAATATGGATTTTATTTGTAGACAGGTTGGTTTCCCCCCTTTTCTTTTAATTAAAAATGATGTTTTATTCAAAGGTCTTAGGATTTGCAAATTGAAAACACAACTGGGGAATCCCCAGAGTGTTCCAAAAGAGAAAGAAAAGTTAAGAGTTTTAATAGTAAAAAGCTACATTTGAGAAAAGTCAGTCCTGCATTCTTAGCCCACGGATTGGCTCAGGATGGTAGTCTCCCAGGTGGCCAGTGGTCTGGATAATGGGTGCCTGGTGGTCTGAAAAATGAAGCATTCTTTCTAAGCATGACAAGCAGTTATCTTAAGAGAGAGATGCATCTCCAGCACATGAACATTCTTTTTTAAGTTCTTCAGAGGTTTATCTATGGAATTTAGGTATACCCAGGAAACTGATGGTTTCCTACTTTTGTACCCTGGAATTAAAAAAATGTACCCACCCAGTCATGGGCAGCTCTGTCCAAGCCTCTCACCACCACCACCACCACCACTACTACCGGGAGCAGAACCGACCTGTGCTCTCTGAGAGGCTCCTTGCCCGGAGTGAGGGGGTCGGGCAGGGTGAGGGTAAAGGAAATGCCGTGAGTGGGAGGAAATGTGTTTCCATTCTACCTAGCTCATGCCCAGGTAACTGTTCAAAAATCTGCTCCATTATTTGAGCTGGCGGTTAGATCCAGGTGCTCCCGGAGGACTGATAATGGGAATCATTTATTTATTTATTTATTTATTTATTTATTTATTTATTTATTTATTTATCTTTTTGAGAAGAGAGCTGTCCCAAGGGCCTCTTCCAGTTTGACTGCCTGTCACCACCCTAACCTCAGTCCTTACCAATCCTCTGAGATCAACCTGCTTTCATCTGATCAGGAATCTAGTGATAGGAGTAAGAGGAGAAGCTTCTTCCTCAGGGCACAAGAGGTAGAGACTGTGTTTTCTAAGGTTACACAAGTAATACATATAACAGTTTAGTAGTAAATGGAACAAAACCCAAGCCCCATCCCTCCCTCACACTCACTCCACATCACCTTCCTCCCTCGGTAACCCAAGCCCCATCCCTCCCTCACACTCACTCCACATCACCTTCCTCCCTCGGTAACCTTTCCCACGCACGCTTCCAGACCTTCAGAAATTATATATGATGGAGGTTTTATTGCGCATAGCGTTCTGCAGCTGTCTCTTAGCAGTGCCTTGGTAAGCCTTCCATATCCTTTTACATGTTTGTATTTCCCTTATCTCCTCGAGTTTTAATTGGGAACAGCATGGCTCATACCCATTATTCTAGCCGACATGTAGGCAGCCTTTATATTTTTTGCTGTTTCTAGTGATGTAACATGCGCCTTTGTGTGCTGCATATAGCATCTGAAAGCACCTTGCTCTGTCTTGCTCTTATTAGCCCCCTGTTTGCACTGAGCAAGCATGAGTGCAGAGACAGCCTGAAGGTGGAAACCTGAGCGTAGCTCCCTGGGTGAATCCCAAGGCCCACCGAATGGCACCTCTGGGTTTATGGATTCATTGGATGAGGGAGTTTCTATTTTAACACATCTGGAAAAATCGGCCCATTTGTCTTTTCCTTTCTTCAACACTCCAGGTAGACCTCACAGGAAACACAAGTTAAAATACTCCCAGGTGTGAGAGCATTAAATATATTGAGGGCTCAGGGCCTGTGAATCTTAGAAGCATCTACTTCCAGATCAGTCACCTTTGTTAGCAATAAAAATGGGCAGGGGCTGGGAGGACGGGTGGGGCAGCCTTTTCCATGCTGGCCTCGCGCAGCTCAGGAAACTGACTGTGGCCTTGTTCTGCTGCGTAGGATTCTTCCTGAAGCGCCCTGTTGTAGGGACCATGGCTTTGGCTTGGCAGCCAACATCTTCAGCCCTTGGGTCCACCCTTCTGTGGTTTTCTCAAGCCTTGGCAAGGCGCGTGCCCTCTGCCAGCATTGCCACCGCGATTCGAGGCAGCCTTTCTGGGCCCGGAGCTCGGCACGTCGAGGAGAAGCACACCTGGCTCCCTGCCCCTGCTGCACCTCACACACCAGTGCCTGTCACGTACCTGTACTTACCTTGGTGACGTGAGGACTTGAACACCTTTGATCTCAACCAGTTGGTAGAACGTTAGTGGCAGAGGGTAACTATGCCATTAGCTCAGCCCTTCCCCTGACCTCCAGGCCCAGACTTAATGTCACATTGTCTCAGTCTAAACCAGGCTCATCTTTTCCTTCAAATAGGTGGTCTTCCCCTCTC